AGTGCTCACTGGGGGTGCAAATACTTCCATATTGCTCTTCTGCATATATTAATCCAGATTTGGGCTGACAAATGATTAGTTTACTAAAAAGAAAAAAAAAACTTTAATCATCTGTCTAATGACCATTTAAATTTAAGTTTGATTACCACCAAACCAACTACTCACCATTATGAGGAAATGACATTTGTAATGTTTTTCTTTAATGATTATTTACACCAGAATCAGTATAGATTTTTATTTTTTTTAAATGGGCTTTTAACACTCAGTCCTGGCATTTAAAATTAGCTCCTGCAGGTTAAAAACTGATCCCCCCGCAACACATAATCAAGGAATTATTGTTGATTGATGTGCGTATTAAATCAGTTGCTTTTTGCTCAACTCTAAGCACAAACTCTGTTTAGTTGTAATGGTCATTCTTAAATATGTGTGCATTGCAAATTAATGCTTTAAAAGAAACAGGGAGGCTGGAACTGGGGGACTAAAGAGAACAGTAGCAACGGTGATTTTTTAAGGGAATTTTGTTCCCAACTTATATTGTTAACTGGGTGGTGACACGGGTGGCGCTATGGTCTAAACCACTGAGCCTCTTGGGCTTGCTGATCGGAAGGTTTGAGGTTCGAATCCCCATGATGGGGTGAGTGCCCATTGCTCTGCCCCAGCTCCTGCCAACCTAGCAGTTTGAAAGCATGCCAGTGCAAGTAGATAAATAGGTACAGCTGCAGAGGGAAGGTAAATGGTGTTTCCGTGCGCTCTGGCAATCATCACGGTCCTCCGTGCGCCAATAGTGGTTTAGTGATGCTGACCACATGACCCGGAAAACTGTCTGTGGACAAATGCCAGCTCCCTCAGCCTGAAAGGGAGATGAGTGCCACAACCCCATAGTCGCCTTTTACTAGACTTAACCGTCCAGGGGTCCTTTACCTTTACCTTATAAGGCAGATTGAGGTCAACAGGCTTTTAACTTCCGAATTTCATCAATAATGTTAATGCATATTTTCTATTCTATATAAACTGCTTTGATTTCTATTCCTGCCCACTCCCCAACTGGTGGCTTTAATTTCTTGTACAGAGAAATGGTCATTTAACTCCTCTGGCTCACCATCTCTCCCAGAGAACTCCTAATCTGAAAGGCTTGTATAAAGCTGAGGTCGTGGAGAGTTTTCTATCCGGTCCAAAGGGAAATGCTAAGGCGGGCCATGTTGGAGTCAGTTCCTCAGCGGCATCCCAAAGAGGCCTTTTGTGCTGTAATAACATCCTCCCTAACTCATTCAACCATGCTCTGCAATATGTCATTTGCCTGGGCCCAACTCTTCCCTCAGCTCTATTCACCAGGGTGGGTGTGAGGTATGAGTGAAAGGAATCAGCATTCAAAGTCCAGGGAACAGGTCAAGACGGACCCAGCTGCTCGAGTCCCTCCCAGGTGACCCCAGGTCCAGCTAAGCATTTTTATATTTATTTTTAACACCCCCTTGAGACTGCCAGACTTCGCACTGTGGGCCCGTGTTTGAGTTTCTTCTGCTGATCCCTGTCACAAAACAATCTGCCTCTGCCTAACCGAGAGTTGCCTCAGTTTTCTTTCACAAATGCACACAGGAATCAATTATCCCTGACAGGAAACCTCAGTAAACAGGTTCTCTGCTCCTAGCAACTAGGCCCAGGCTTCTCTTGCAAGCACAACCCACTGTCCTCAAGCAGCCCCCTCTGCCAAGCAAAAAAGAACACATTCTCGCTGTCTTACCATCATCGTCTCATCCCTTCTGATTCTCTCCGTTCCCAGCTCTCTCCCTCCTCCGGAAGATTCCCCCTACCCTCCATCATCGACCTGCATCAAGCTGCCGGGTGCCACAAATTGGTGTTCATTAACCAGCTCATAAGCCAACTCTGCTCCAGCAGATCTGAGCTCCTGAGGGAACGTTGTCTGAAACAGACCCTGTCCCAATTTCCCTCTACCCACTTGCCCAGTGTCACTGAACGGGCTCCAATTCCTGCCCCAGACACCTTTGCAGTAACTGAGAAGAAAAACATGCAACTCGACACCAGAAAGAATGAATACACACTGCTCTGGTGTGAAAGTTTTACTATTGTTATTCTTAGCTGCTGCCTCTTCCTTTTCCCCCCAAATGTACATCCTACTTCTTTTACCATTTGAGGCAAGAATTGTGTACACCTGGTTTGTTTTTAAACAACCACACACACACAAAGACACAGTGTGTCAAGACTCATACGCAATTTAGGCTTTAGTCTCTGCTGATACCATTCTACCCAGTAAAGCAAAGCGTAAAAGGGAGGCACACATATGGCAGGCATAAATTAAGGGAGCAGAGCCAGTTCACCATGGAGCCCTCTGTGTCTGGAGATGAGACGCCTGGCTCATGTAAGTAATACCAGTGCTCTAGGCCTCAGTTTCTAACAGGGAAAGCTATCACCCCCACAAGGACTGCTCAGTGGGGTGAGTGAGGTTGCAGGCTCCACTACAGCTGTGGATCTTGAGCTGCTTTATCTCCAGCTGAAGAGATATGGTGCAGGATGGGATAGGCAGGGAGCAGGAAGGAGAGAGTCAGACAGAGGACGAACACCATACCCTCCAAGTGTCCCAATTTTCCAGGGACAGTCCTGGAATTACGAAAGCCATCCCAGCTTCTGATTTGATCCTGGAATGTCCCTATTTCCCCAGCCAGATTAAAATAAAATAAAATCGGGGTTCAGGGGTTGTTTTTCGGGGTGGTGGAGGTTGTGTGTACTGTGTCCCATTGGTGTAGTGGTGGCAGCACTAGTCCTTTTTCTGATGGGAAATGTTCTGGGGGACACACACCAAAAAATGGAGGGTCGGTTGTGGGGGAGTGAGAAATGTCCCTATTATCATCTGGGGAATGTTGGAGGGTATGTCACATGTGTGTAGACAGTGATGAGGGCACAATTTCATGACGTGTCAAAGACTGGATTAAACTGGTATCAGCATAAAATAACCCATGGCCAGTTTAACAGGAGCTACTGGGCTCATTAAATAGTATCTTGTGAGCAAGGTTGGGGGGGGGACAAAGGAACATTGCTTGATTTGGCAATGACTCAAAGGACAGCTTATTTAAAGGTGCTACAATTTAATTAGCCAACAAAATGGCAAGGGGAGCAGGAAAAAAGAGAAAGAAAAGCAGAAGAAAGATTGACTATTGGAAGTGTCTCTGTCCCATGCAAAAACTTACAGGCCACCTATCCAAGAACATACCTCTCAGGTGCCTTACGCACCCAGGTAGGACTGAGGCAGATGGGAAGAGCTGTTGGGGGAGGAGGGCACTGGACATCACCTGGGCTACTTAGCTCCATCCATTCCTTCCACCGCCACCCCCTGCTGCTCCCCAGACTCCCTCCAGCCCATCTTTCCACTCGAGTTCAGCAATCACAGACATCTGAAAGTAGCTTGGGAGAAGGTTTAAGCAGCAGTTAATTAAAGTAAGCATCAAATTAAATACAGCAAAATTAAAATAGCTCCGGAAATTAATTTCCAGCATTAAAAAAAAAAAAAACAACTACCTGGTAAAGCTAGATATTATTTAAAGAGTGAAAAGGAACCTACTGAGGCGGGGAAAAGACGGAGTTGCACCCAAGCTCCAAATCCCCTTGCCAGCTCCAGCAGGAGTTACAGGGTATAGAATTGGCCAAGTCTTTTCTCTCCTGAATCTCCCAATTTGCTGGCGCATGCACACACACACACAATCCCAATCACCACACTTGACCACAGCCTGCCCCTTATCTAAATGCCCACCACCCAGCTCCTCTGAACCATGTGGGTGGCCCACATTCTCCCTTCCTTCTTTCTCCACCCTAAAACAGCCCAGCAGCCATCAGACACACACATACAGTGTTGAGGCAATTTTCACTCTTCTGGCACTGTGTACACAGAAAGGCAGGCAGCGGAAGCGGCATGGAATATATATGTATATATTTTTCTTTTAAAAATACCTCCTAGTGGAGATTTTGCAAAGCTGCATGCAGTTGTGATTTTAAAAAATATAAACAAACAAAAGGCCAATTTAAAGGGGCAAGCTTCCCCAGAACTTCCTGGGGGCTGCTTTTCTGTTTTCGGTGGGGCAGCTAGGAGGAGGATGGTGGAGATATATATGGCTCTAATATATTTAAATGGTGCTTTGTTTCTGTCACTGGTACTGTAATCATAACCATCGCCAGATATACATGATATATGATTGCGCGCACACACACACACATACACACACTCCACAAACGGCAGCTTGCTCAGATCTCATTATAAATAGAAGGATCCAGCTAAGACCAGGATCTAAATGCATTAGAATACCCATGCCAATGTCTTGCCATGTAAAAGTTAGCTGCTTTAAAAACACAGTTCTGTTTCTGGAACTACAACCAAACGCATCTCCAGTACTGGCTGCCCACACATTAATCTTTCCAATAGCAAAATTAACTTGATAAATAGTAAGAAAGTGAATAAAGGATACACTAAAAGTTCAACTTGTTAAAGTTGGTCGAATATCAGACCAAAGCTTCTTAGCTGGGGAATAGAAGGGTTTTTAGGGAAGAAGTCATTGAAGGTGAAAGCTCTCTGATTTATTCAGCAGACAATAAAGGCCAAAATGTAGGGGTTGTGCCAAAGCAGGGACAGAATGCATGGTGCGGAGTTCCATTGCATGAGTGGTAATCCTTGCATGAACGCAATTGTTTAGTTGAACAGTGCCCCAAATCTCTCATAGAAGAGCTAGCCATCACAATCAGTACAAGGCAAATGTTGAAAATGGTGGCGGCGGCACCATAGTCAAGCCCCCTATTTCCAAATGTACATTCCATACAGTTGTAATAAATCAGTATTTTAGTGTAGCGGCATCTACACTTTGGAACTCCCTGCCTAGTGACATCCGACGGGTGCCTTCGCTATACTTTTTTCAGCGTTGGCTTAGAGTATTTCTGCTTAGGCAAGTCTACCCATATAAATAGGTGTTGGTATGTTTTAATCTTTTTTTCTTGTTACTTTTAATTACGTTAAAATGATTTTAAATGGTTGTATTTATAACATTAATATTTCTTGTAAACCACTTAGAGGTTGTATTACAATCAAATGGTATATACATTTTGTTGAACAAATAAATTCCTCTGCCCCAAGATACTGGTGGTGCCGATCCACCCACATAAACTTTTTGTAGCCGTTCTCCTAACTCAAACCACATTGTGGTAAACTTGACCCTGACTACATCCAAGCTAAGTCACCTTGCTAACTTTGTCTGTTTTGAAATGCTAAATAATCCCCACAATTAACCTTTGAATTAAGGCTTAAACGACAATTACCACGAAACAGAACACATATAGGATATACTCCACAACAATATAATAACTGATACTCAGCTAAAACGTTATAGTGAAATTATCACCATGCACAGTAATAACTGTGCATTTTGGCAGCCACTAATTACAAAATCTCCCAACTTGTGAACCCAAAAACTTGACTACCCTGTGATCCTGAGAATGAAATGCTGTCAGCATCCCTATCCTGTCATTTCCCCCTTCCCCTTTAAGCATCAAACCTATTGGAAGCTGTATAGCTGAATGAGTAGAATTCCATGTTTACAAATAAAAGTTCCAACCATGAGGTTGCGGGGGGGGGGGCTACGTAAACAGGAAGCTTGCAAAGTGGGGTGGGCTATGTGAACAGAAAACATGCAGATTATTTAGGGGCAGCATGGAATCACAAAGTGAAATAAAACACTCCCATTGATATGGACTCGGCCTCATCAAGGTCTTTTTATGCTACCTGGTCTTGCATAATATACATCTGCTTCCTATTTTGTTGCCTGCATTCCGCACATCTTCCATCAAGGCAGCATTTTAGTTGGAGGGCGCACCCTGCACCGTGAATTGCAGCATCTGAGTAAATGCATTACTCCACCCTCAAGTTAGTTCACTTGTTTCCATTTGGATTGCCACATGAGCCACAGTACGTAAAAAAGCCATGGGCAGCTATTGGATTTTGTTTGTGAATTCACTGGTGGGGGCTAACAAGACACCCCCACTCGATGCTCACAACATTCTAAGCCTTTTATTTTGGTAGGTGGGCACTCCACTGCTCCAAAACTCCTGCAAATAAGTACTTTTCTATACCAAGAGGCTTTAAAATACCACAAAAATGCAGAGTTCTTCTCTCTTCCCACCCCACCTAATAGATGCAGTAGGGAGGTTGCGTGATTGTCACAAGAGGGGAGGGGGAGAGAATTGCAGAAAGAAGTATTGCACAATGTGAATGTGACCGTGCTTTCAGGGTCGGAGCAAAAAGGCCTTTAGAAAAGCAAAGGAGAAGGGGAAAACCCACTCCATATGGGAATGAAACCAACTGCTGTGTCCCAGAGTCCCAGCCAGGCCAAGCCATGTGTACAAACTTGCTGCTTTGCCTGTTTCCTGCTCACCAACCTGAAAGCAGCTTTAAGAATATAAGAATCTCAACGCCCAGAGGGCTGCCACAACATGAGCTGTGAGCCCAGGGTGCACCAAAGCTTTGAGGTGCAGCATCCCCAGCCATGGCAAAGCACAGAGGTGAAGCAAACATGACGAAAGGGTGTGCCACCAGTGAGTGGGGAAACTGAGCCATGGAGACAGGTAGAAGCTTGCACAACAAAAGCCGCAGCATTTTCAGGGCTTGTTCTGACGCTCTGCAACTAGAGTTTCAATATGATTCAAAGTCCCCCGCCTTTAAAAAAAAACCCCTGCACTTCCCATCAGGATCACTTGTGCATATCCTTCTACGTGTCCTTAACTCATCTGTCTTTACTAATAACATACAATTGGTTAACCATATTCCCACATTACAGCAGGGGTAGGAGGGTGGGGAAGTGTATTGACATTCCTATTTTACAAAAAAAAAAAAAAGTTGTTGACTTGCCAACTACTAGGTTAATGGCTGAGCCCAAATTCAGACTTGGTTCTTCCAGATCCAAAAGAAAATCTTAGTAAAAATTCATTTATTTAGCAAAATTTATATACCACTTGTTTCCTGTAAACCGCTTAAAGGCGTTACTACAAATGACCCCAATGAATTCCCGTGGAATGGTGACCCTAATGGTGAAACAATGAAACTGCTAGCACATTTGCAAAGCTAAGCAGGGTCTGGGATGGTTGGCTGCATGTGAGATTCCTGCATTGCAGGGGGTTGACCCTAACTCCACAATTCTATATTACAGGCTTTTCAGTTTTTTGGGGGCGGGGGGTCAAGGCCAGGGAGAGGGGAAGAGGGCCCATCACAGGAATTAATAACATTATGCATAGCATGGAGAAAGCATGGGGCAATTTTCCATTCCTCTCACACTATACTAGAATGCAAGGTCCCCCAGTGAAATTGGTAGCAGGTTCAGTACAAAGGAATGAGCTTGTGGAATATTCAGGCACAGGGTGACCAGTAACCAAAGTGGCTGTACAATGGGGGCTAGTGAAATTCATAGGAGGCTAAGTCTTATCAGTGGCTACTAGTCACAATACCTACATGCAATTTCCAGGTCCAGAGGTATTATGCCACTGAATACTAGCAGCTGGGTAGCTACAGAGGGCTTTTATGTTCATGTCCTCCTTGTTGACTTCCCACAGGCATTTGTTCAATGGTGGGAGGCAGGACGCTTGACTAGATAAGCATTTGGCCCAATCTAGCAGGGCTCTTCTGCTCTCATGAGGCAAGTCTCTCTGGGATAGTGCTGGGAGGTGGGGAAAGAAACAAGGCAGGCAACCTCTCCCTCCATAGTACATATCTTGTGCAAGCCTGGAGGCGAAAATATGTCTCAGTACCCATTCCAAGTAAAGCTTGTGCTCCCCACATTATGGACCCATAATTTTCCATTTTATTTTAAAAGATCTCCGCCGACCGCTCCCCACAGCGAAAGATGGTTGTAGGCACAGCTGCTGAGGTGAGGCCGAGCATAGGTGCCCTCTCACACCGAAGATTGTGGGCACCCGCAAAAAAAGGGGCTTCAACTTTGCCCACTGACTTTAAGGAAGCCCAGCCCCTACAAATATATTATTGTGGGTGGTGAAGCACCCACGGCTCCCTGGAGTTGGCTCCAGGCTGAGATACCTCCCTGTACAGGGATGTTTTTAATGTTTGATATTTTACTGTGCTTAATGTGTTTAATTTGTTGGAAACTGCCCAGAGTGGCTAGGACAACTCAGTCAGATGGATGGCATGTAAATAATTTGTTGTTGTTGTTAAGAGGTGGTCGTGCCCAAAGCCACAAAGCAAATCACTGGAAGGGAGTGTCACCCAAATCTACATCCAACACTCTAACCCCACCTTGCTAACCTGCCGCCCCTCCAGGTATTTTGGACTACAGCACTGGCTGGAGCTGATGAGAGTTGCAGTCTGGAACATCTGGCCTGGCAAAGGATGCTCTTCCCACCGGGAACCACAAGAGGCTCTTGCTTTTCAAGTGCGCACAGGCAAGGCTGCTCGGTGAATCGTTAAGTTTTTATGAGGCATGTTCTTGGTCACAAACCGAGGCGGCTCCAACATGCTTTGGCCTCGACCTGGACGGCTAAATTAAGTCACCGGTGCTCCCCTCCTCTTCTGAACCCACCCTACACTGTGCTGCTTTGCTACTGTCTACTTCTGCTGCAGATCGCCTCTGCCACCAGAGAGCTGAGCCAGACTCCCTGCAGCAAATTCTCAAGAGCATGCTGTAAAACTTTTGCAGCACTTCTCCCTCCCTCTCCCCCCCCCCCCAGTGTGTGCCTAATTCTGTCCCTGACACTTTGGCTGAGTATCATCTTATCTGCTCTCCACCCCACCCGCACAGCTCATGCTCACGCAAGCAAGCGCACACACACACACACACACACACACACACACACCTTCCTGTTAGATGTCAGGATGATCTTGGATCTTCGCCTAGGCAGCTCCAGCATAGCTTTCTCCTTCATTTGACAGCAGCCCTGCCAGGGAAGGAGGGTCAGGAAGAAAGGGGGAGGGAGGGAAGGATTTGGTTGGGGTTTCTTTTTCTTTTTCCAGGAGACACAAAAGAGGGGGGGAGAGGAATAAAAGTCTGTGGAGGGAGGGAGGGAAGAATGTCCGTTCCAATCATGGTGCTTTTTCCTTTTTAAAAAAGCCAGCTTGCTTTCCAGCCATACGACCTGCCCCCGCACACCCCGACCCCCGCCAAATACCGCCCTTCTCCAGTCTCTCAGCGCAGGCCATTTCAATCTCTCATCTCTGGGTGGCCTGGCCTTCTTCATACTGCTCACAGATGGCTGTTTCTACTCACTTGAGCGCTTGACCTAAATCTCTCCTCTCCAGATCCAGTGGCACTGCAAATGTCTTACCAGTGCACAGCTCAAGGCATGGCAAGGCTTTAAAAGAAAAAAAAGAAAAAGAAAAAAAACCAGGAGGAGGAGGAAGAGGTGAAGGAGAAGAGAATGACAACAGGATGTTAGCTGCCCAGGGAGAGCCCCCACCCCAGCTCCCCATTTTAGAAACAGACAGGAGGAAGATTCGGCCCTCAGCATCATCTTTTGCCCTGTCATCTATTCTGCGCCACAGTCTGAAAACTGGGTAACCACATATCCGGCCCCAATCTTCCTGATAAACCTCTCTCCTCTTCCTCTCCCCCTCCCCTTCCTCCCTGCAAGCTCAAATAAGTTCCACTAGCTCTAAAGTTTCATCAGTGACTCAGCGGCTGGATGTTTCAGACAGCAGCCACACACAAACACACACACACACACCTCTCAAGGGAAATGGAAAGAGGCCTTCAGCCCCCAGTTGCAGATGAGCTGGGTGGTGCAGGAAGGCCGGAGGATAGCCAGGCTCAAATTACAGTGTGTGCATCGCAGGGAAGGGGTGGAGGGAAGAAGGATAAACTGCAATAACACCGCGAACACTTATGTACCACTTTCAAATGTTCAGAAATGCTTCACGTGTTACCTTGTCATAATCCTTACAACAGCCCTATATGGTAGATCGGTCAATATTATCTTTGGGTTGCAGATCTGGGGGAGCGGGGGCTGAGAATGGGATGAGGGGGGTTGCCTAAAGCCACCTAGTTCTTCGCGGAAGTGTTTTGAAATGGGACATTCATACCTGCAGATCAGTTTCAGCCACAGCAACACTCTTCTATTTCTTCCAAGTACACTCTGAACGTGTGGGTGATCTCTGAAGGGGCAGGAAAGTGTGCCTGCATATAAACTGCAAGCCATGCAAGGGCCATCACATCTGTTTTACATGCAGAAGGTCCCAGGTCCCATTCGCCAGCATGCCCAGGTAGGGTTGGGAGAGTCAGCCCATGCCTGAATCCCTGGAGAGCCCTGCCAGTCAGTGTAAACAATACTGTACTGAGTGAATGGACTCAGTGGTCTGATTCAGTATAAAACAGCTTCCTATGTTTCAACATATGCTGCAACAAATTATCTTTATCTCTTTGGCTTGTGAATTTCACCTGCGGAATAGCAGAATTACTTTTATAAGGGGAGAGAGAGGAGCCCCCTCCCCAAACCAAGCCCTCCCCCACCGAAGAGATTAAAGGGACACACACACACACACACACACACACACACAGTCATTCCCCAGCTCTGCCTTCCTTCCCCAGCCAAGGCTGTCTGCAAGAGCCCATCATTTGTTCCGCCCCCAGCGCCAAAGCACTGAGCGACAACAGAATGCTTTTAAAATCCCCTACGCGCGGCGTGACTCACTGCAACCCCACGTTGCCCAAAACAAGCTCCGACAAGGAGAGGAATGGAGAGGCAGAGAGATCCTGGAGGCGGGGGGGACAGAGAGAGAGAGAGAGAGAGAGAGAGAGAGAGAGAGAAGGCCGGAAAGAACAGGGGCTGAAACTCTGCCTGCTGGCTGGAGGCTAATTGGTTCCGGCAACAGCCTGCTCAGCTTGGCGACGCTTCCTCCAAGTCTGCTCCAGCCACTGCAATGCTGGCCCTGGAGAGCGGAGAACATTTCTCCCGGCTCAGCTTTGGACACAGCCCTGCTGACATTGTGGGGGTGGAGGGGGAAGGGTGAGAAGCAAAGCCACCAAGCCTAGGAAGAAAGGAAGAGAGGAGACAGCCGCCCGCACCAAGGTTTCTAACTTGCACATGGCGTTCAAGCCGGGCGCATTCGCCAGAGTGAACCCACCACTGATGAACACAGCAAGCCAGTTGGGGGCAGCAGACGCAAAAGGACCTGGGACAGGCGAGGCTGACATCTATCAGGCGCTCTCGTTCTGCCCACAAAGGCCACGCATAGAAAGAGAGGCGGAGGCAGCCAGGAAGTCAAAATCCTGCACCAAGAAAAGCTGGAGTCTACAACCTGTAGATGACAACTGGCACGTTTGCTTCTTTTACAACAGCTGGCTTATTCGTGGGGAAAAGGGACAGAGCTATTGGGGGGGGGGGGTCGTCCCAAAACAGGCATGTGCACCCATGGGTGCCTTATTGACAACCCCTCCACAAGGAGCTGCAGCCATTTCTGGGTCTCCAGTGAGGGTAGTGATATACAATTTGTTTTCAGAACCTGCCTTTGTCTACCAAACAGGCATGTACCAATTGCTGTACACAATGAACAATAATAATTTGAGTCTTTTTGGAGAAATAGGCAGGGCAGGAACTTAACAAATAAATGAGTTTCATTATCATCTCTTTTTTAAAAAAGCACCTGTCCTGTAGGGATCAGAGAAACATGTGCCCAAATCTCCTCAGTGGGATCTTCTTATTAACAGTATCAAAAACTTTGGAACTGTTGGAACAAGAATACTGTTGGTGCTAAACTGTTTACTTGAATGGTACCCATATCCAGTCTAACCAAAGATATGGAGGGCCAAATTAGATGAGAGCGTGCATTTTTAATAATACTAATAACAACCCCTGGGGTGGGGGAGACTGATAGTGGTTTTGCAGCAGCCCCAGAGGTGTTTTTTGAACCCCTTCTTCCTTTGTTAGGTTCTCAACAAAAATCACTCATCTTACTAATTTACACTTAGAAGAAGAAAAAACTCATTCACACCAACAGAAATTCCTCCCAATGCAAACCAAGAGGCTTTGGAGAAACAGTTTTCATCAGGACCACAGCAAGGGAAGGGGTGTTCCACTCCTGCCTTCTCCATTTTGAGCAATCCCCCTAAATGATCAATGTGACTCTTCTCCCCTCCCCTCCACAATCAGGGGCTGTTATTTGCATTTTTTAAAAGCGTACATATTTAAAATCACATCTGAAAGTTCCTATAACTTAGGCTGTGTGCACACCAGAGTGTTAAGGAGCACACAGATCACAGAGATCCATTTTTCCATGTGTGCTTTTGTGCATCTTCATCCACACATGGGCATTTGCCAGCTGAACTCTAGCTCAGCGGCTCCCTTTCACACTAGTGGGCGGTGCCTGATGGGATAAATCTGCGTTCTGTTTTGTTGTCTCCTCTCCTCAATTAGTAGTACATCCCTACCCTTCCTGAGTTCTGGAAACTTGAGGTCCATTGTGGACATGTGTGCAGGTACTTGTTTGCCGGTGTGTATAGCCAATTTTTGAGACGGCCTTTTTCGAGATCCACAAAGTGGGTTTAAATACAGAACACACGTGCCACACCCAGCACCACTAGCAGCCCACAGAGGACCTCCTCACCAAGGAAGTAGGGGATGTGGTGCTAGATGAAACACAGCAAAATGTCACCACACACATTAAAAAAACCAAAAAAAACCATGCCCATACCATGTACTTCAATGCACTCACAGCTATTATTTTATGTTGCATTCTCCCACCCCAGACACCCCTCATTATCCACAAATTGGGAAAATCCAGATTAAATGAGAGGAGAGGAATGCAGGCTTGACACTTGGATGAGGACAATGTGTGGACAGGGTAAAAACATGCACATGGGAAAAGCATCAAATCCACTTTAAACTGTCGCGTGTACACAGCCTTGCAATGGCTTTGCTTTGAGTCTAAAAGGCAAGAGAGGCCCCAGCAACAGAGTGTTGGTACAGTTGGTAGGCAGAAGAGTCTCAGAAGCACCAGAAGAGTGCTTGGGGCTAGCCCAAGGTGGTGGCATGAGAGCCCCAGATCTTTTGCATCAGGCCCTGGAAAAATACTTTGCTTATCACAGGGCTGGGGGACCTTAGGCCCTCCAGATGTTGCTGAACAACAATGCTCATCAGCCCCAGGAAGCATGGCCAATAGCAAGGGATGATAGTAGTTCAGCAACATCTAGAGGACCAAAGGCTCTGCACACCTGGCTGGGTGCCCTCCAAATTCCAGTACTGGTAAGACCCCACCCCGCCGCCATTCACCAACTCAATTCCCAGAGGCATCTGTACAAATAAATTTACATGTGCAAATTTGTGTCATAAGCTCTGCGCCTTGAGTTCTTTTAACTGTCTTGCAAGACTCCTGCTGGTAATAAACATGTTTGTGGTCTACAAGCTCCTCTTTTGTTAGAGCTGAGGTGTCCCACAGTTCAATGAATCAACAGCCTTCCAGTTGTGGGTTGAATCTGGCAAACTGGGTTGGGTTGGGTGGGTGCTGCTTAACTGGGTCCATTTCTAGAGTAGTGGTGACTAACCATGCCCCTCCAGGTGCTGCTGGACTCCAACTCCCATCAGCCCAGGCAACATAGTAAGGAGTCAGGGATGATGGGAGGTGGGAATCCAGGACAGGGAGAGATACAGGTCTACCAGCCCAGTTCCAGAGTGAAAACCACCAGAGCTCCCTGGTAGCAATTTGGTAGCAAGAGTAAGGCTGACCCAGCCACAGATGGTTAAATAGAACGCAACTGGAGGAGTGGGCCGAGAACAAATCAAAGCCAGGGGTGGGTGGGGGTTAGTTCTATGGCTTGCTTTACTGGCGGAGGATCTGAAGCAGCTAGGTTTCTGGCGCTGTGCAACAATGAGCTCTTTGTAGCATGTGGTGCATCCCTTAACAGCTGGCACAGCTGCACCTCATCTCCTGGGTAATGTCCACGATCAAGGCTCAACTACTTCCAGGTTCGGCTACGACAAAGCCAGTTACTTTAAAAGTGGTACTAACCTGATAGAGGAGTCTCTGATGGTGTTTGCCCATCACCCCTCCAACCCTCTTGCCATGCTTACTCCCAGAAAGATCAGCTTATGCGGAGGCACAGGACTGCGCTCCTTGAAATGGCAGGATTTAGTCATTCCCAACACCACAAGAACAAAAGGTGAGGGTGGGGCAAAAAGAGACTACAGAAAATGAAGGACTGCATCAGATGCGTCCTGGTGCAGATGTGGCCTTTCTTTATCAGAGCACAACAGTAAGGGCATAACCAGTGTGGTACAGATGGAGGTTCTTGCATGGCAGCTATTGTGCCCTGTGGAGTGCCTCTTCCTGCAGAATCAAATAGCTACTGTGAATCAGAGCTTTTAGTTTAAGAGAAGAGCACAGGGAAAGTGCAGGGGGTAGTTTCAAGGCTACAAAAGAAAAACTCAGAAAGCACGTGGGCAGTTTCTGTTAGAAACTGGAAAAATTAGGGTGGCCTTTTTCGTTTGTTTGTACTGCATCACTACCAACCTTTCTTTGCCATGCCCACAAACACCCAAATCCGTACCAAAACTGTGGCTTCCCCATGCACCTGTTGCCCAGGGTTGCTGAAGGAAGCCCAGCACCATCCACCAAGATGGGACTTGTTACCCGATTTCAAGTCCTTTAGGTAACAGACAGCTAGTGATGTGCTGAACTCAGAATAAGAGATTCAGAGTAAGGCACCGCCACTTCCTGGACCAACCTCTCTCTGCACAACAGTATATGAGCTTTAGAGAGGCAAAACAACTCTTGTTTCAAACACAGAGTTCAGTGCAACTTGAAAGACTGCATATAAAAAGGCTGCCAGTGTAGTGCAGTGGTTAGAGGGTAGGACTAGGACCTGGGAGGCCGGAGTTTGATGATGCTTTGCACTTCAGCATAGCAAAGTGTGGTTTTGGTCTGTCATCTCCAAGCCCAACTTTGTGGCATTATAAGGCTAGCAGCAGCCCTGGGTACATCACTTGAGCACTCCAGGGTCTTTTTAGTTTTAGCAGGCGCTGCTGCTGCATCTTGCACTCGGATTCTGTTTTTGCGAGCAGCCATTGCAGTGTGGCGCAGGACCAGTGGAGCCTACCAGAAAGTGGTGGCTGCCAGGGCTCCACAGAAAGTGCTGGGCTCCGGAAATGCTGATGTGGGCTCCTCTCCTACTTCACAGAAAGCTGAAAGTAAATGTGCTGGTGGCAACCCAGTGTGTGTGAGGCCAACAATGCCATGGCAAAAAGGAATCGGGGAGTTCTTCACAGGGTCCCCAAAGCATTTGGAGAAAGAGAACCAGGTCCTTGAGGAGCCAGGATGCAGTGAAATAGGAAAGTGCAGAAGAAAAGCTCACCCCTTGTCTCCTCATCCTGCTGAAGACTAATCATCTTCTGAAGGTGATCAGATGTGAGACAGCCTTGCCTCTTCTGACCAATCTTGCCATGCTCAATGTTTGCAGTGGCTTTGTGTGTAAAACTGTATATATTGCATGTGTTTTGGTTTGAGTACAGGTCTCTAAAAGCCTAGCATGCTGTTTTGTTTACTAAAATAACCTAAAACTTGAATGACTGTAAGGAAATTGAGAAAACTAATATTTCCTGGGAGGTTAGCTACCAATCAAGCATTGCAGTGTCGAGTAAGTAGTAATCATGGGGTTTGTGTTAAGTGGTGTGGTTTACTTCTTTCTGCACTCCCTAAAGTTCTGTGCCATATGAGTGTTGAAATGACTATATTACCTTTTTTAAAAACCTACATTTGTATTCTGATGTAATTCATTACCTTGAATGATATGTCTTGGCCTCTCTTTCTGAGGGTTAGAGAAGCATGAAACTGAAACACCAGCTATTTAAACTGGGAACACCAAAAAGCATAATTTGTAATTAAAAAAAACTTGCAAATTAAAAATCAACAACAACACTTGAGCACTCTAAAGCACAAGTTCTTCTCATATTGCCTTCACGTTGTATAGCTGGGAAATTTATTCCCATTTTATAGATTGGAAAAGAAGGCCCACACTTGTCCAAGGTGCTACAGTAAAATCCTTGGGTTTGTGAAAACAGAGCAAAAAAGATAATCATTTTTCAGACAGAGTTGAAGGTGGTCTAAGAAAGGCTTTGCTTCTCCCTTTTCTTAGGGTCCCGTTGTTGCTTTTGGCCAAACAGGGTTTCAAACCAACTACTAACTCAATGTATCTGGCTACAAACAATCTGCAAAACTGGAATACCAGGAGGTTAAAGCTGGATAGTCATGCAAAGCATGAGCAGATCCCGCTTTCAAAACTGCCTCCGACTCACAGGTGGTGGCGAGGAGGGGGTCTTCTGTTCTCTTCCTAATGGAATATATAATTGGCTGCCTAATCCCCCCCCCCAAAAAAAGCTCCCATAGCACAAAATCCTCAATTGCAAATCCAGTCTCCTGTTTCTCACAAAGACTGTGCAGCTAAAAGATCTCCTGGACCTCTGTGGCGTCTCTCGCCACTCAGGATCTTCCACCCTGCTGAACCACTCAGGTGAAACTGCAGGACAAAGAATGGAACTCTGACAGCGTAATCCCCCAGTAATCCTAATTAGGGTGTGGCTAGTTCATTCAGTGTGTGTGTGTGGAGGGGGGTAATAGAAGGGGAGGATGCTCATTTTTAGCTTTGGATAGCGTTGGCCCCTCTCCTGGTTAAAGACACAACACAGCCACAACCAAAATGGGCAAGATTGGGGGCGTGGAGAGAATAGGGATGCTATCTATAAATAATAATAATAATAATAATAAAGATGCCTGTGGACTTAAGGATTACGGGTATAGTGGTTTCTGAAGGACAGGCGTGGGTGGGGAAGTCTGTACATGTCAGAAATCCACCCCCCATTCCTTATCTGGAATGGATTAATCAGTTAAGCAGGAGGCCACTGAGTAACTTGGTTGCTCTATGGGCAGATGGCAACCCATAAAACTGTGACATTGGTAGCTGGTTTATTGCATGCTGGCATATCTTCATCCATTTAAATGGAAGCAAGTTTTGTTTTTTTTAAAGTCCGCCAGAATTGAACAGAGTCAATCTCCTTTTTAAAAGGAGCCAGGTACATTCTCTCTCCCCCTCCCCACCCGTGTCTCACACTTACCTAGCTACCTACCTACCTACACAGTGAAAGATTTATTTATTGCCAATCAGTCTGCTAGTCAAGGGATGCTGATGCTGCTACTGCCACCTCCCCTGCTTCTTCCCTGCACCCCTCACCCCAACTCAGCCCCCAGACTACATTAAGCATCCTGCCTGAGCCAGGGGGGCAACCAGACCCCCAGGCCGCCAGCCCCAGGACACTCGCCAAGAGCCAGCCGCTTTGTTCCAGGTGCCTGTTCACTTCTTTCATTAGGCTAATGGGATGCGGATGCATTACTCCATTCCACATGCTGCTAATGAAGCACTCAGGCCTGTGTGTTTGCATTAATGTGCGCAGTGCTGGCAGGCGGGGAAGGGGAGGGTGGAAGGAGAAGAGGAGGAGAAGAAGAAGAAGAGTGAAGGGGCTGCATTCGGTCAGACTATCTAGCCGTCGTTGTCCCCCCCCCCACTTCCCCCCCAGCTCCCCATTAATCATCCAAGCTGCCTTCATTTAACTCCTGCTACCTCAGCCTCCATGCCCTACCCTACAAAGACCGAAAACCAGGTTATGTTGCATGCCGGGCCGGACGAATCTTAATCTGCCCAGAGAGAATTCCGCAGCACATTCCACGACACATTAAGCAAGGCCCTTTGCACTGGGCAGGCTCAGAGACAAAGCTGCTGGCGAGGGAAGGGCGGCTACACCTACCCCTGGCTCTCCGGAAGGGAGGCCTGAGAAGCGGAGCTGTGGGGACGGGGCGGGGAGGTGGGGGTGGAGAAGAGAAAGAAGACAGCTGCCCTTTCAGAGCAAGCCAGCCATGGTCTGCAATCCAGTTTCCACACAGGAAACACCCAGCCCAGCCTGCCTGCCTGCCTGCCTGCCTTTCAGATGAGGGGCTCCTGGCTTGAGTGTCTGGCAACGGTGCGGCCAAGTCAGGCAACGGCGTCCCAGCCTCACAGATGAGGTTGTCCAGAAGCTGCACGGTGTGCGCCCTCTTCCTTCAGCATATGTAGAAACACTGGGATGTTTCTGAAATTCCCTCTTAACACCACAGGCCTCTGGTCCTTCTTGCTGCGGACACATTAGGGAGCATGCAGGAGTCATCTCCAAAAGGGGCCAGAGCTCCTAGGCCCTGCACAGCTAAGGGGGCGCAGCCTCCAAGTATGAACTCTCAAAGGAAATCACCCCAGCTGCCCCCTAGGGTGGCACCTTGAAGACTGACCACATCTATTATGGTGTGAACTTTCACAAACTGAAACCCACCTCAACAGGCATGCTTGCATCTGACAGTGTCCACAAAACCTTACACCATAATAAAACTGGTTTAGTCCTTAAAAGGTGCCACGAGACTTTATTGAGAAGTAAGTCCTATTG